ATAGGAGCATATCACATCACCTTCGCAGGAACCCTCTTCCTGGGGGGCTCGCCGTGAACATCACCAGGGTCATCTCGTCTGATCTTATACCGCAATGCACCGCATACCGGGCATGCGTTCAGATCCTTGTATGCACCGCGGTACAGGATGCAGTCATTAGGGCATGCATTTATCTTCTCCACCTCCAATCCTATAGGGCATACGACCTTCTTTGCTGCGTATGTACTGTCGGGCAATTCGTTATCCTTTGGAAGCTTCTTCTTCAATATTTTCAGTAGCTTCTCAAATCCTTTGTCAGGCACAGCATTCTCTGCCTTCCACTGCAGCAATTCCAGTATGGTACCGAGCTTTGTGTTGCCATCTTCGCAATTGGGGTACAACCCTTTTTTGTGATCCTCTAACATGCGTTCGAACTTCAGCTTCTTCTTTTGACTTTCGCATTGCGTCCTTGCATCGACAATGACCCGGCGAAGATCATCATCATCGGGCATATCGTCTGGTTCCTCTTGATCTTCAGCAGCTTCACCCGTTGCAGCATCATTTGGCACATCGTCTGGTTCCTCTTGATCTTCACCAGCTCCCCCCGTTGCAGCATCACCGTATTCAGGGGGCACATAGTTGTCATCGTACTCTTCTTCTTCGCCGTCTTCCATCATAACCCCTATTTCTCCATGCCTCGTCCAAACATTATAGTGTGGCATGAAACCCTTGTAAAGCAGGTGTGTGACTCGGGCATTCCATCGAACACCTTGTGTCCATAGGAGGTGAGCTAGAGCACCACCAAGCCCTCTCCCCCTCGGCCAGAAAAAACAGAGCAGTGTGCTCTGCTCTTGCGCGAGGGGGTATATATAGGCACCCCCATTGGTCCCGGTTGGTGGCATGAACCGGGACTAAAGGGGAGCCTTTGGTCCCGGTTCAAGCCACCAATCGGGACCAATAGTGGTGGGCCAGGAGCGAGGCCCATTGGTCCCGGTTCGTCCCACCAACCGGGACCAAAGGTCCAGACGAACCGGGACCAATGGCCCACGTGGCCCGGCCGGCCCCCTGGGCTCACGAACCGGGTCCAATGCCCCCATTGGTCCCGGTTCTGGACTGAACCGGGACTAATGGGCTGACCCGGCCTGGACCTTTGCCCCCTTTTCTACTAGTGGTAATTCATAGTACACTACAACCTGACATATTTATCAAGGCGTTGATGGCTACAACACCTATAGTTGGTAACAAATTGTTGCCCCCCATATGCAAGGGTTTATAGAAACCGGTAAGTTGCCCATTAGGTGGATTACTAATGTATAAATCCTTGGAGATAGTGCCAAGTTATCCTCTCCTTCGAGTGGCACTTGAATAGAATAAAGGAGCCACTTGTGTCTCCAATAGTCCTAGTGTGGTTGTTGATCACATTAATCTTGATAGTTGCAATAGATAATGAGTAGATAATGGTATATAAAGTATTTTATTTATTTTTGGAATAAATAGTATATGAGACTAGTAGTGCAAGTACACATGTGATCTTAGAGGTTTTCTTATAGAGAAAATTGGATCTGGGTTCATAGTTTTGCTAGTTGCATCTCTTGTATTCACGATGTCACATAATATAAGCATATGCATGTGAAATGAATAATCATACAATCATCGTATGATATAGCATCAGTTGGGATCATGTTATATATGCGGCACATCCATAAATCCAAAACACCAACATCTATTACAAATAATGTTATATACTCCACACAAAGTGACCAGAACCCCATCTGCATGCAAGTAATCTATACCTCTATATACCTAATAATAAAGGAAGGCGTGTTTCTCCGATTTTTTGGTTCGTCCACCATATAGAATTATTTTTGCCCTTGATGAATACATGTCCGACGTGGTACTAAAATAATGACGTGTCCTATTTTAAATTTTTGTCCATCCACACACTAGGTTGAAAGATAGCGCTTCGTAAATTTCATCATGATTTGTTTTTTACATGTCCAAAGTGGTACTAAAATAATGTATATGTCCTTTTTAATTTTTCTTTTGTCCACACGCTAGGTTGAAAGATAACACTTCGTAAATTTCGTCACGATTTGCGTCTGGGTGGATCAAACTCAGGACCTCGCCTCCCACCCATAAGGTGGCCACCAGTTTTTTTTAAACACCTGTAGTTTTATTCATACTCATAACAATTAAAAGTACACATATTTGTATCTAAAATTCAGGAAAATACAAAGTAACTCCTCTGATTAAGAATTACAATGAAATCTCTTGGAAACACCTTTTCATGGTATCAATCTTTGTTGGAAGAAATACTATAAAGACTTTGGTAAAGAGGCAACGATTGGACTGGAGCAACAGTGTTGTCACTCTTTCATCCGCGTGAACATTATCAATAATGGTTTTTGAAAGCGCATTGATTCACCCATTCAAAATGATGAGAAGCCTTGATTGATGAGCGTACTTGGGCCGGGGATGGTCACCTTGAAGTGTAAGCCGTCGGATCATAATATCTTCACCATGATGTCCATGAAAGATTTCAACTCCACAAAGAATCAAACCGTATTCAATATCATTTTTTTGTTATTAGTTGCCCATAATAATCCTATTCCATTTGGTTGTGAGTTGTCACTAAGTACCTTGTTCCGATAGTAGTGGTATCAGAATGGTAAATTTGACACGGTGATCACTGTTTAATTATATGTTTGGCTACACCTAAGATAGACAATGTTGCACTCTAGAAATCTCTATCAAGTTATCATTGCATTATTATAATATGAAACAATAAGGTGTCTAGCTATGTAGTCAGTGGATACATAGGCTGTACAAAGCCAGGGAAACCGTCCAGCCACACAGACATAGCAAGTGCCTTTCAGACTGTAACCAAGGGCCCCCGGATTAGGCTAGCAACAACAGTTTCAAAACTCTGAGATAGTAGCAGCTGTATAAGCAACAACAAAGCATTCTTCGGGTATTGGTAATTCGGCCCCTAGCAAGATTAGCTGCACTCTTCATGGCATTAACAACACATGCCTCGGGATAAGTCCTTGAGCCAGCTTCTGCGGTTTCCCAGCTGCCATCATCCATGATCCATCAGTGTATCCCATAATTTGCTCCAGATTGTTCATACACATTTCACTGACAACACCAGCAAAACAGAGCATGGCATAAAAAGGCGAAACAGCAAAACAACAGTTATCTGCTAGAGTAGGAGTAGGTGCGCACATCAGTCATGATGAATTGATACTGTCTCGAGAAACCATCATCATATATAGTACATCGCACAAGCCAATACAATTGAAGTGTTCATTCATAGTACATGAGAAAAATAAACAGAGTAGGGAACGACCATTTTTATCCTCTCAAGAATCTGAATGCGTGACCTTCCATACAAATAAACAGAGCAGGGAATCAGCAGTTTTATCCTCTCAAGAATCTGAATGTGCGACCTTGAAGACAAATTAACAGAGCAGAGAATCATATGCTTCAGGTATTTACTTTTTTCCCCTTTGTATTAAAATCGTGTAGTGTTACAGTAAACTGGAATAGCAATATTCAAATGAAATATATTTTTATATCAGTGTCCAATCATGTATTGTTCAAGTTCTTGTCAGTTTCTAGCTCCTCGAAGTTCAGCAATAGTGATTGGAGCAACGTGGAGAGTTAGATCTATGTGTCTATTGCAAAAAGAAGTATTCTCTGAAACTTTAGTCCTATACTCACACTATGCTCTGCTTATTACAGTACGAACTTGCGGCAAACAGAGTATGTTTACAAATTCAACTGTGTTTCATTCGCAGAGAACCCTTGAGGAACTGATCGGAGTTAGGAGATGCCGGCGGCCGCGGCAACGAGGTACGTCCACAGGAAGCACCGAGGAACTTAAGTACAACGGCTGCCCCATAGCCCCGATATTCATGGCGGGTGGCAGAGCGGACTGCATTATAATGGCGTAGCACGGTACAGCGGGTCTGCGAGGTTGGAACTTGACGCCCTGCGTTGCGCACCATGGTACCGGCGTCGCCACACACGTATGCACACGATCGACGCGTGCTGCAGCACCAACTTCCATACCGCTGCAGATCGAATGATCAGGTTGAGTAGAGTCAAATGTATTCTGTCACGAGATGATCTGTCTAAATAGTGATTGTGTCCAACTAATGGTGGCAGCACCCTACCGTGTGTCAGGATTCCTCCCAGGATGAAGGTGATGAAGGGGGTCGTGTCGTGCCATTGCTGCCATGGAAAGAGATCAAACACAGGACACGGTGTAACTGAATCAGGTGTTTCTAGTGACATACATGCATGTGTTACCCTTGAATTTCCAGGAGCAAAAGGCACAAGCTGAAGAAGCGCCAAAAGATTTTCAGGAGCTGTCCAACAAAGTAGTCAGAGGTGAGAGGTGAGTCTTGCAGGTTCCCAGATGCAGTCATCCATCACTTTCTCACACAAAAATGTTCAGAATTATTCATAGACATTTCTTAAAAAGGGAAACCAGCGAGATAACAGTTATCTGCTAGAGTGCACGCATAAAAGGTGCCATCTGTATTAAATGCAACATCAAATTGTACACACACACACACACACACACACACACACAATTAAAGTGCTCATTCATAATACATGTGATAAATAAACAGAGCAGGGAATGGTCATTTTTATATTCCAACTGGCCAGCCAGCCACTTTCACAATAACATCGACAAATTAAGGGCATAGGAATAATTAAGCAACTAGAAAGACCAGCGGAGACCAAAGCACATCATCATCTTCCTCAACTGACACTATCATGTGAATTAGGAGACAGTGTCGCACTGTAAGGTGAGCCAGCATCAGGCTCTACACCTCATAACAGGTTGCTGGAGGCACACATCTTGGGCCTGCTGTTAATTTGTGGTAAACAAATGAACGAAACTTTGAATTTAATAGAGTACTTGAAACTTAAAAAACATCAATGAAAGATGGCCAACGGGGGCTAATTTACCTTTCTGTTTATTTGTAGGCGGAATTCTAAATCACACTTTAATTTATGTACTTCCAGCGGATATGAGCGATCTTTGCCCAGTTTTCTCCATCAGGTGCTCGGCAGCTCTCTTTCAAGAGTTCCGAACAACCCTCCATGTGTATCTTCTGGAGGGAGGATGGCAGATCTGGTAAAGATGATATGTTGGGGCATTCACATATGTAGAGATTCTTCAGACTGGAGAAGCACTTCAAATTTGTTGGCAAGGAAATCATTTGACAGCCAGAGAATTCCAGGACCTTGACAGATGTGAAATTTGTGGATTCTTTGAGTGAGACGAATGGCTCTTTGCATCCTAGAAGAGTGAGAGATTCTGGAACTGTGAAATCTTCAGCCGAGAGCATATTGTTCATTATTACAGGACTGCTAACAGTGAGGAATCCTTGGATTCGAAGCTGTAAGATACACTCAGGGGTGAGTTTCGGAACATCAATCAAATATACGTTGCGAAGTTGCAGACAAGACAATCCTTCGACCGTACATAAATCTGGCAATTTCTGCAATGAGAATGATTTAACAGAGGTGAGACTATCAACAGACAAGCATGCAGTGCTTCTGCAACAGCTTATGTCAAAATCATACATGTGTGGCCAGTCAGTACCGAGGAAGTCAGCTGTAAGCACACAACCGTATATACAGAGCCTCTCAAGGGATAATGGCAAGCATTCTGCTCCACATGCCAACTCTAAAGAAGGGCAGGAAATCAATGTAACAATTGAAAGAGAGGTAGCAGCTTGTAAGCCCCCTAATGACCTGAGACACCAGCAATATCTGATGGATAACTCCTTAAGTTCTGTCAAATGTTGGAGCACCTCTTCGGAAGGAAGTGTAGTTAAAGTCATAAGATCTTTTAAGTCCAACATTGTCAGTGAAACCAAGCCATCAAGGCAAGCAGCTAAAGCTCCATCTGTAACACTGCATGAGGAAAGAATAAGTTGACAAAGTCCTGATGGTGGAACCAACGGCATCCCACTTCTCCTTCCATAGATGAGTCTCATCCTTTGCTGGTGACAGCATATCCATGCCTTGATTATATCCTCTTTTACCAATACTTTATATTTCTCCCTTTTTAGAGCAGATCCAAGGTTTTGAACTTGTGACACATCAGCATGCATCAATGTCATCTGCTGCTCCAGAAATGAATGCTCCCATGAGATTACTCTCCTAATATCTGATCCTGAATCAACCGCCCAGATTAAACAAAGTTGTGATGCCAAGTGGTCCATCTTCATGAAATTCTCTCTCAGATCATCCTGTTCCATCTCATCATTGGAAATAAATACAAGCAGTGGGCATTTGTCTACTCGTAACATTTGAAGACCTGGTGGAAGACAAGGTAATGTCTTCAGGTTTGGCACATCGCCGAGGACAAGTGAAGTGCAATTCCCAAACATCTCAATATTAGATGGTAGACTTTGTAATGCACTGCAATGCTCGAAGCTTAAAGATTCCAAGTTCTCAAAATATGAATTATCAAGTAACCAGCCTGGATATTTTGAAGATTTGTAACCTTCAATTTTAAGATCTCCAAGTTGAGGTGGTGGCATCAAACCTTCTAGAATCTCCAAATGTGAACTATCTTCTCCATTTGTTTTATTCTTGCAACTCCAGGCAAGTCGCAAGATGCGAAGATGCCTTTTCTGATGCAGCTTTGATTCTAAGGCTTCATCCTTCCCAGTGACATTCTCAAGATTGGTGACATGTAAACTGTCACGAATCTCATTCATGTCCATCAGCTGTTGCAACTCATATCCCTTTTTCTTTTGCACAGAAAATTCCTCAAATTGTTGAAGCAAAGTTAGCTTGCCAATGTTAGGAATTTGAGGCAGTCTCGCACTGTTCAAGCCGCCTATTCTTTCACCAACCCGTTTAAGATGCGTTAACTTCCTTAAATTGCAGAGTTTCTTGGGGAAACTCTCGACTTTGGCACTAAACAGCAGTAACTGCAAGTGGTAAAGAGTACACAGTGATTTTGGCAATTCAGAAATCAGTGTACTTATGATGTTCAAATACCGAAGGTGCTTCAACTCACCAACAGATTCTGGCAACTTATTACTGTTGTAAGATTTCAAACATAGTACACGCAACTTCTTTAAATTCCGTAGTATCTGATTAAAAAGATCACTGACATCATCCATCAGGGGGTATATGCAGATAATAGTGCGTAAATGATGTAGCTTGCAGATACTTTGCTTGTGTTGCTTCATACTTTCAACACAAAAAGATATGTGTCGAACAGTAGATGGTATTTCTGTAACCTTATCATCTTCCAATCTGAAGTAGTCATTTTTAGAGAGTGATTCTGCCAGATCATGAAGGAGATCATGCATAACATAGTACGTGGGAAAGATATCAGGGAATTCATTGTAATCGGGTTGAAAGAATGATACAGAGATCATCTCCTTGAAGCAATCCTTTCCAATATCTTCCACACTCTTGTTTCGGTTGCATGAATCAACAAGGCCCTCTGCCATCCAAAGATAAACCAACTCCTCAGTGTCATATATATGGCCTTTTGGAAACAAGCTGCAATAGAGGAAGCACCTCTGCAGACGTGGATCTAAGTTCTCATAACTCCACAATAGAGCTCTCATGGGCTCACTTAACTTTTCAATGTTTATAGTTAAAGCATGCTTCCATACAGTGATGTCTGTTTTTCCTTTCAACTGGGAACCCACAACTTTTGCCGCCAAAGGAGATTGTCCAAGCCTCTTTGCAATCTTCTCTGCAAAATCTTCGAGCCTTTCACACGGTAGTGGATTTCTGATTTGTGGTCCAGAGAATGCATGGTGTTTGAAGAGTGCCAAGAAGTGAGCATCGTCCATGTTTTCCAGAGGACAAACTTCACAACAGAGAGTGGCTGGAAATGTATCCCGTCGAGAAGTTACCAAAACTTTGCTTCCTGTCTGTTGGGAAACTAGAGGAGCTAACAGTTGATCCCATTCTCTCTCACTGCTAGCTTCAAACCAAATATCATCCAACACAAGCAGGAATTTCTTTGATTCTTGCAGTATGTCTATCAACTTGCGCTGCAGAGTATCAAGGTTATCAATGCGTGGGCATTCCCCCTGAGAGGCAGCCTCGATGATCTCTCGTGTATGACGGCGGACATCAAGTTTGAGTGAGATGCTTACCCACATTGTCACATCAAAATATTCTTTTACCCTCTTGTCATTGTAAACAAGTTGTGCTAATGTAGACTTTCCCATGCCTCCAGCTCCAACAATGGCCAAACCTGAGTACATAGCTGTACTAGACTCGGTAGTGGCAGTTGTCTTGGTAAGAAGATCTATTATATGATCCCGATCCTTGTCACGACCAATCACTTTCAAAGGCGGTAGTGATGTGGTCTCAGGAACAGCAGCTGATGATATGATGGGTCTCTCTGCATTATAACCAGATGGTAAGCAGAGCAGTTCACGGAAGTCCTTGGCTTTCGCCAGGGTAGCCTTCAGTTCATTCAGCTGTTGAATCAGCTTTCTGTTCTCAGAGCTCAGATTGGATAACCTGCTTGATGCAGCATGCAGAGGCTTCATAAAAGTGCTTTTGATGGAAGCATTGGCTGACAAGGAATATTTCCCCTTTGCTTGGAGCTTAAGGAGGTTGTACTCATGCTCGTTCAGCAAGTCTTCGGCCAGATAGAATGCTTGTCCAACTTGGGCCTGTGGTTTCCCTTATCTGCTGCTTCAATCAATAGCTCGAACTGCGGCAAGACTGTGGTCTCCAGTTCATGGAGCTCACGCGCCATGTCCACTCCAAGATATGTTGAAGCATTAGCATGGAGCTTCTTCAAGACCGGCAATGCAGCCAATCTTAAGCCAGCTATAGCTAAGGCCACTTCCGCCATCGGATTGTAATTGTAGGACTGTTCCTCTTCTGCCGAGGGCACTATTCTGAAAGAGAGTTTAAGAGGTTGTTTATAGAGGACAGTAAGAGAACAAATTCTATCCATAAAGATACATAATGATGAAACACCTAGTATGGAGATGACCAAGTAAAATGGGAAAATAGGAGCGAAAGCTATAAAGAAAAATTTCCCCTCTTCTCCTTGTTTTTTCTTGGTGTGGACTGTGGAATGGCTTGAATAAATCTAAAGACGAGCACTGGAATTGTTGGACGTGTGATTGATGAAAAACATGTTGGAGTGCAAAATGAGGAGATAAATTAGTCGACTGCAATGGAGATAGGGAAACCTACTGGCAGATTCGTAGACAATGGAACAAACTAAGAATACTACTTTTAGCATGGGAAATTACCTGAATAAATGATAGACGAGCAATGAAAGTGCTTCTAGATTGGAGGTAGTAGAAACAACCAGTGAATATAACAGTGGATAGAAAACCTGTTGGAGTAGAAAATCACGGACTAAATTAGCCGGTTGCAGCAACAGAGAAAATAAACAGAACCCTACATCCAGATTTGATGAGGAAAACAGAGGAGCATAGTGGTGAGCTTACACAGTTGAAGGAATGAGGGACAGCTTTGTAGGAGCGATGAGTCAAGGTTCAGCGAGAGGCAGATAGTAGGTGTGATCCAGCTACTTGAGAGGATGCTGAAATTCCCACCAAGCAGCTCAGCGAGGCAATAGTAGGTCAGATCCAGCTACCTGCCCATTTTTAAAGCTTAGGTGACTGGACTTGCTAATAAATTAACCAGTAACCAATGTGGACATAGCTCACTGATCGATAATTTAAGTACATAAAGTAAGCTAGGCATTATAAGATATCATGCAATAGAATATTCTGCATCAAAAGCTTCAGATCAGTAGTAGAGGGCTCTGCACATACAACTCCATCGTGTAACAGTCCATAGTTGGCGAACCGGTGTGTGCTTCTCATTTTGTTCTCCTCCTAGTACTTCCTGGACTAGCATTTTTTTCTTGCCATCGACAAGCAGCTATTGTATCGATCTCATGTCTGACAATTGTGGACAATAACACTTTCCTGTCCTTCCCTGCTTTGCCCACCAAATTACTGCCTGTCCTGCACTGCACACCGAGAAGCAGAAAACAGGAAACCATGCCTCTTTAAGTCAAATACACCATAATATAACCAATATATCAGAAATTTCTTTACAGCGAGAATATGATATGCCAGAAGCAAATTCGGGTATCACTAATTGGTGGTATAAGCTAAGCAGGGACAGCGTCTGTTTGCGGGAATCCATCGATAACGTGAATAGATCTACTAATTAACGCAGGCGAGAACGAATAAACCCACTGGGGCAAGGACAAGGCGGGTGAGAAGTAGATCTTGTCTATCACATGGGAGATATATGCCCAACGAGGCAGGAATAATAGATCTGATCCAGCTACTTGCCCTTTTAAAAGGTTCAGCTGATCTGGACTTGCTAATAAACTAACCAAAGTGGAGACAGCTCACTAAACGATAATTAAAGTACATGAAGTAGGCTAGACGCATCTTTTCACATTTTGAGACATCACAAAGTAGAGTATTCTGTATGAAAAGCTTCAGCAGTGGACACATAAATCTATGCAATCAGAACACTAGTAGAGGACTCCGCAAATACAGCACCTACGCCGCTGTGTGACTAAATACAAATGGCCAGTTTGTAACCCCTGAAGCATCACGAGTTAGAATCGCGTTCTTCTCCTTAGCATGCATGTGTGCGGAAGTGGAGAACTATTCTCATGGTGGTGGTCTGGTGGACATGGTGCTTGCCCATCAAAATCATTTTTTCTTTCCATCACCATTGCTGGCCCTCGTGGTTTCCATGAACCACCCACACAGATCTGAAAGCTGTGTCCAAGAATAAAATATGACCCCATTGGTGTCCAACCTGCAGGGAAAAATCATCACAAAATAGAATTGCAAAGAATTAACATATTTCCTTCAATTGCATTCGTACAGCCTAATTACTTTTGAATTACTGTAGAAATGTATGTGCAGAATCTGACGGAGTGCATTCTTGTAGGTCTTGAACTGGTGTATATCACTAAATACTCATCATTGATATAACAACCATCTTTGAAAAGAATGTGCATACCTTTCAGCCAGCACACATCTCTTGATTCATATGGCAGATAGTCTTGGCTGCCTTTCCAAACTTGTTAGCGCTCTTCCATGGTTTCCAATGTAGGCACACAGTCCAAGTTGAAAATTCATATAAAATCCTGCAGCGGCAGGTTGATTGGGCAAACTTTTTTTAGACCGCTGTAAACGGAACCAGCAAAATGGGCAAGGCTATGGCTAGCACCATTCTGATCAGGCACGACTTTCAGAATGACAAAATCCCTTTCACCTGACATTGTTAACAAACTAATGCCTCTAACTCAATCTGCATACCAAGGCCGATCTAGTTGAGCAGAACCGAAATTACAAATTGCTTTGGCGCAGGCTGGTCCAAGAATGACAAGGAGAGTAGGAGACTCGTTCATCCGACATCCAGATCTTCCTGGACCTGTTGAAAATCTGTAGCCCCTTGAGATTCTGTGCCTCCTCAGCATGCATATCATATCCGTCGTAACTCCTCCACTATCTGAATTTTCAGGAAACACAGTTGATGGCTGTCACTGATGGTCAAATAAAAGTGTTTGCCTTCTCTGTTATGCCTTATGCTCACACGCCCTAGCTCGGATGCAGTATGGTTCACCTTTGGATATCTCCACTGCATAAGTTTTTAGTAAAAAAAACATTTGCGACTGTCGATGCCTGAAATTCACGTATTGGTATACATAGTGGATTTCGCAGATTCGGTGGCGAGGTCCAGTAATTAATTGGACCGAGCTCTAGTAACAACAACACTGAGCATACATGGAACGAACAAGGAAAGCAGAGAAGGAAACTAAATGAATGATGATCAGCAGGCAACTCAGATTCAGAACTATAAATTAGTCCTATGGCGGACTGAGCTTCGCCGGTTTTAGAGAATCGCAGAGAAACTGAAGCTATTGTGGACTGAGGTCCAGTAATTTTGCTGCCTAAGATCTACACTGAAGGAGAGGAGATGTGCAAGGAAAAAAAAAGTGCACCTTGTTCGCTGTGTGGAACAGCTCGGCTCACGCGGTGGCTCAGGCTCGCACAGGCTCAAATGGTGGCCCGCCGTGGCGGCCTCTACGACCAGCCGCGGCCGGCGGAGGCCACCCAACATGAGCGCCGGCGAGGACTGCATCCCGACCACCACCACCATCGTAGATTGGCGGCGCATATGAGAACGGCGTGTAGATGGCCTAATTACTTTTGTACAGCCTAATTACTTTTGAATTACTATAGAAGTGTACATGCAGGATTTGACAGAGTGCTTGCCTCTACTTCTTCCAAAAAAATGTAGCAAATTTCTAGCTGTATATCATAAAATATATAGTACTCATCACTGATATATCAGTTGAGTTATCTGCATGACACCAAGAAACGTCTCCCGTTTCTACACCTTTTCAAATCTCTTAGTGCTGTTCCGTGGTCTCCAATGTAGCCAGACAGTCCACCCTTGGTGACTACAATAAGAACCTGATGAACTAGTGTGTGTGCTTCTCATTTTCTTCATCTCCTAGTGCTTACCTGTCCAGCATTCCTTTGGTTTGGTATCCATTTTGTGAATTCCTTTGGTTTGGTTTGGTGCGTTTGGTCTGCATCTAGTGTATCGATCTCAACTCTGAAAAATGTGGACAATAGTACATTCCTATCATTCCTTGCTTTACACACTGAATTACTGGCTATCCAGCACACCTAGAAGCAGTGAACAGGAAACCATGCCTCTGTAAGTCAAGCCACCATATATAATCCAGATATCAAAAATTCCTTTACAGCGATAATATAATATGCCAGAAAGCAAATTTGCATACCATTAATTGGTGGTATAAACTAAGCAGGGACAGTGTACGTTTTCAGGAATCCAATGATCCGGCTACGCAATTCATCAGATCTACTCCCTCCGTCCCATAATGTAAGACGTTTTTTGACACTACATTAGAGTCAAAAAACGTCTTATATTATGGGACGGAGGGAGTACTAATTAATGCAGGCAAGAACGAATAAACCCACTGGGGCAAAGACAAGGTGGGTGGGAGGTGGTTATTATGTACTCCATTCATCCCAAAATAAGTGTCTCAAGCTTAGTACACCTTTGTACTATAGTTAGTACAAAGTTGAGACGCTTATTTTGTGACGGAGGGAGTATATATCACTTGGGAAAGACACCAGCTAGTCAACGAGGCAATAGTAGATCTGATCCAGCTACTTGCCCTTTTTTATGTTCAGCTGACTGCAGTTGTTAATAAACCAACTAGTAACCAATGTGGAGACAGCTCACTGATCGATAATTAAAGAACATAAAGTAGGCTTCTAGATGCATCTTTTCACATTTTGAGATATCACATAACTCTAGAGGACTGCGCAAATGCAAACGACCAGTTTGTAACCCCTGAAGCATCACGAGTTAGAATGTCGTTCCTCTCCTTACTGTGCGTGCAGGAGTGGAGAACTATCATCATGGTGGTGGTCTGATGGACATGGTGCTAGCCTGTCAAAATCTTTTTCTCTCTCATCACCATTGCTGGCTCCTATAATTTCCATGAATC